TCATTTTATATTAATATTTAAATAGAGTTCTTTTAAAAATGCGTAACATGGTCAAAAGATTCTCATGGATTATTTGATTATGAAAGTAAAAATGTAGATATAAATAAATACAGAATTGACACAACTTGTTCAATAATGAGAATGAGTTAATTTTAAAAAAATATATATTTAATAAAATATTAATATTAAATTAACATTAATTTAAATAAATATAATATATATATATATAAAGAAAATTAAGAAATAAAAATAATCGATTAAAATTGTAAATTAAATGAATAAGAAGGCTAAATATTAACAAATATAATATAAAAAGATCCAATATAATGTAAAAAAATAAATAAAGAACTTTAATTTTTATTTATTTTTAAATAAAAAGAAACTTATTTTATAAATCCTGCAAAAAATACACAAAACATATAAATAGATACAAATAATACAAGCAATAGTAGTGAAAACGATAAATCTCCAAATAAAAATAAAAAATCTCCCGAAAATAAATTCCATGATACATATTTAGTTATTCGTTCTTTAAAAAAGCCAGATTAAGCAACAGTTTAAAAAGTAAATAAAAATCTATAATGTATATATATTGAAAATAAAAAAAGGGTTTTCCATTATAAATAAACGATTCAATAAAACTTGGACGTATAGAATATTATGTAATAGAAAAAAAAACAAATAACTAATAAATTCAATTAACAAAAGACATATTTTGTGATGTAAAAACAAAATAAAAATATTTTTTTATTTTAAAAAAAATAAAAACAAACAAAAAATATAAAAAGCCTTAATAATATAACTACAATATTGATTTCTAAAAAAAGAAGTACATACTTGTAGAATATGTTTATGTGAAGAAGAATAATGTAAAGAAAATCCATTTATAAACCCATGTAGTTGTAAAGGATCGTGTGAATATATGCATGTTTCTTGTGTTAAATTATGGATAGAAAGTAAAGTACATAAGAAGGTTCTTCCTTTTGTAACTTCATATAAATGGAAGTAAATATATATTTTTTTTATATAATAAAAAAGAAATTATATATAGAAATTTAGAATGCGAAGTTTGTAAACTACCTTTACCAAAAACTATATATATAAATAATAATAAAATGAGTTTGATTGATATTGATAGGCCATACTTACCTGAATAATCATATATTATTATAGAATCTATTTCTAGAGAAAAGAGAGTTTCAAAAGGTTTACATGTAATAACATAGATATTATAGGAAGATGTTGTTAAATTTGTAAAATATTTATTATAATTATAATATTAAAAATAAAATATCAAATAAACAAAATAAGGGAAGAGGACATTCTTGTGAAATAAGAATAACTGATATTTCAGTTAGTAGATTCCATTCATTTATAAAATATGAAGATGATTAGTTTTTAATATTTGATAATAATTCTAAGTTCGGAACTTTAATTAGATTAGATAAAAATTATCCGATTTTATAAGATAAAGTGGCTATTTAAGTTGGAAGAACAGTTATGACTTTAGAGCTTTAATAAACTGTTATTTACACGAATCCGATTTAGAATAAAGGCTTAGGTAATTTAGGATTATAAAATAATATAAATAATTAATTTTTTAGAACTTCTTTAAATATTAATAGTGCTAATTTAATTTAAAATAATAAATAAAATAATAATAATAATGTTTAATAATAATAATAAAATAAAGGTAGTCTAGACTCGGCTGTTAATGGAAAAAATAATAAATAAACGAAAGTTAATACATTTATTATTAGTGCGGCTAATAATATTATAGGTAATTAATTATAAAATAATGCTTAACGACATTAAAATAATATAAATAATAATTAAGGAAATAATCAAAATATAATACATAATAAAAACTTACTTTAAAAAAATAATAGAAATTAAAGAAATTGATTTACTCTTTATTTAATATATATTTTAAAATATTTTTTTTTGTTATTATTATATGAAGATTTTTAAAAATTTTAATATAAAAAAAATATATATATGTATATTATATATATATATATATATATATATATATATATTTTTATATAATCTTTAAAATTTTTTTTTTTTTTTTTTTTTTTTAATTTTTGTTTTTTTATTTATATTTTTTTATTCATTATATAAAAAATTATTATTATATATAATCTTATATTTTTCTTTAAAAAAATTTAAAATAAATATTTATATATTATATATTATGTATATAATAATTTCATTATTATTTAAGAAAATATATTTTAATTATTAATTTTATCTTATTTTTCTTCTATTTTTTTTATTTAAAAAAAATAATAATATTTTTTATTTTATACAATATTTTTAATCATTTTTTAAAAAAAATATAAAGAGATATTTATTTTAATATTTAATATTTTGTTTAAAAATTATAATGAATTTTTTATTTAAAATAAAAATATAAATAAATAAGTATTGAATTTTATATAATCTAATCTTTCATATTTATATTTTTTAGTTTTTAATATATTTTTTAATAAAATGAGAATTATGTTTAATTTATTGAATTTAATGCATTTTTACAATTAATTGCTATTTATTTATTTAATAGACATTAAATTAAATAATTTATATGAAATTTTTTATATATAATATACATAAAGAAAATATTTTTTTTTTTTTATTTATTTTCACATATATATCTCTGTATATATTTATTCATTTAGGGTTAATTTTTTTATTTTATTGTATATGATTTCTTAAAAATTCTACAATTAAAAATATATATTTTATAATTTTTAATATCTTAATTCTTTTATGAAAAATGTTCAATAAATTATTAAAAAAATCAATTAATTCATTATTATTTATATATTTTTATTTGAAATAAATATAATATTTATTAAAAATTAGAAAAAATATTTTTATTTTTTTCATATATAAAACATAGCTCCATTCATTTCTTTTAAAATTATTAATTAACAACTAAGTCTATAACTTTAATTTTATTTTTAAAATACTTTAAAATTTATATAATATTTATATGTACTTTTATTCTTTTAAATTTTCCATTAATATTGTCTATTCTTTAAGTTATTTTGGTTATTTTTCAGATATTTTATCATATAATTATTTATTATTTATTTGTATTGCACAAGTTCCACATTCGCAAGAAAAACTACATTCAAATTCTAAAGGAACAGAGTTTTTTGATAATACTTATGCAAGCATTAAACCGGTTTATGTAGAAATATTAAATTATATGTTTTAATTTTCTATTGATAATATTTAAAAGGTTATATTTTTACTATTTATTGTTATAATTTAATTTTTAAAATTTTCTTTATTTTATTGAATGTTTTACTTTTATGTTTATCTTAGTGTTTATAAGATTGTTTTTCTTATAATATTGTTCATTAAATATAATTTAATAAATATGAAATATTAATATTTATACATATATATTATATATATATATATATATATATATATATATATATATATTTATAAATATTTTAAAAATTTATATTATTTACATTATTAATTATATATAAATAATCTTTGTTTTATAATAATTTAATTTTTAATAAATAATATTCTTTATTATTAATATGATTTTTTTTATTTTCTTCCTTTTAATAAATATTTATATTTAATTTGTAATTTTATTATTATATTATTTATTAAATCTCAATATAATATTTATAATTAGATAAATTAATAATTAAAATAATTTAAAAAATTAATTAAATAAATTTTATATTTTTAACTTATAAATTAAATAATAATAATATAAAAAATATTACAATCTACATAAAAAAATAAAATAAAGCATACAAATCAATAAAAAGTATACATAATAGAAATATTAATATCACACTTAATAGAAATAAAAATTACTAATTTAATGGATACTAAAAATGATATATTAATTAATTTCATATTAAATGATTAAAAAAATTTACAAAAATACATAGATACTTAATCAGTATTTAAATCTTAAAAGAAGTTCACTAAGCTGACTCAAAAGCCCTTATTAAAAGGCGAGTTTTTTTCATATTCGAAAGTACATTAACAATTTAGGCTTTTTTACTTCGAATTATACCCAAACCTAATAATAAAATACTAGGACAAAACTAAATCTCACCAATCAGAATGTGTTTAATGTTAATATTGTAAAATTTAAGAAGATAATCACGTATTTGGTGAAAAATGTGGCATTTGGAATTATTTTATAGAATTTATAAGAGAACGAAATCGTGAAAATAATAACGGACAAATACCAAACACACAAAATGTGGTTAAAAGCTTTGAAAAAGTTTTGCAAATTATAAAATTTTCTACTAAGACATAAAGTCGAAAACCGCATTTTCGATATCTTCTATAGATGCGTAGATTAAAAAAAATGTTCATATATATCCGCGAAAATAATAAATAAGAAAAATATTAGACAAGAATAAAATAATTCATTGAAAATGAAATTTCAATAATGAGAAAAATAACATGTTCTCTTCTGCCGAAATTAAAAAAAGTATATGAAGATGATTTCTATATTTATCTTACTTTCCAGTATTTTCATGGGGATAACCTTTTTAAACTAGTTTCTTAATCAAATTTAGTAGAAATAACTGTTGCGACTTTAATGTATCATCTTTTAAAGGGTTTAAGGGTGATGCATTCTCATAATATTTTCCATGGAAATTTAAAATTGGAGAATATTATTTTTTCTTCTACTTAAAAAGAAAATTAAATTTTTATTATTAATTTTAAATATGCAGACCCTATTATACCCGAATATAGGGAAATGTTAATTAAAAAAGGAACTAATAAATATGTAGCGCCTGAAATTATTAAAGGGAGTCATTTTAATAGTTAAATTGATATTTTTGCATTAGGAGTTTGTTTATATTATATGATCTTTTAATAATATCCATACACTAAAATCGAAAAAGTATTTGAAACTTGGGAATATAACCTTGATTTATCTACTTTATTGAAAATGTAAAACGAAAAAAAAAAGATCCTTAATCAAATCAATAATTATCTGTTTCAGGAATAGATTTTCTACTAAAAATTCTTTCTGAAGACCCAGAATAAAGACCAACAGCAGCTACTGCATTAAATCATCATTGGTTTATTAATTTTACAAATAAAAATAGGGAAAATAAGAAACTTAAAAAGTTTAAAGAAACTCATAATATGACTTCTCTTAAAACTATTTTAGAATTCTCAGAAACATCAGAATGTAAAATTGATTCGTAAACAAAAGTTATATATCCTATTATTTTACCTTCATGCAGAAATTTTAATGTTTAAAATAATACTATTAATACAAATAATAATAATAATACTAATAATAATACTAATAATACTAATAATAATACTAATAATACTAATAATACTAATACTAATAATTCTAACAATTCTAATAATACTAATAATTCAAATTATAATACTAATAATTTAAACAGATTTAATAATCATAATAATTATGATTATGTTAGTGATGATGATAATGAAAAATCTAATTCAGTTTTTTAATTAATGAAAAATTTAGAAAAACTTTCATAGCCGAAGAAATTTTGTTAGTATTAGAAGAGAAAATATAATAAAATACTGTCTTATTCATATAGTCATGATGATAGTTATTTATAATCATAAAATAATGATGTTAAAAATATTGATTAATAATCATATACTAATAATTATATATAAACATAAGAAAATTTGTCATATAGCTCATGATTATGTTTATATAAGTTTTTTTAATTTTTTATTAAAAAAAATTATATGCTACTTTTTGATTAAAATTATATTTTTTAGGAATTTTTATTTATATAAACTATTTTTTTGTTTTAATATATAAGTATAGAAAATATATAAAATTTTCTGATTTGAAATTTTAAAAAGAATAAAAAATTTATATAAAATAAAGGAAAGAAAAAAAAAAAAAAATTAATAAAGCAAACCAACTAAAAAAAGCAAAAAAAACGCACAAATATTATAAAAATATATATATATAAAAAAAAAAACTTAAAAAAAAAAAAACAGAAAAAATGGAAGCAAGAATGACAAAAAGACTTCAAAAAGATTTAGAAGCAATCCAAAAAAATTATAAAGATTAATTCACAGTAATTTTACCGACAAATGATTTGCGCCTATGGTATATAGAATTTACAGCACCAAAAGGTACTGTATTTGCAGATGAGAAATTTAAGTAAAATAAATATATATAATTTATTAAATATCATATTTAAATTATAATATATATTCATATAAATTAAAAAAGACTTCAGTTTAAATTTTCAAGTGAATATGTAAAAAATATTGATTATTATAGAAAAATTATTAAAAAATAAATAAAAAAAAAGCCGATAGAATCACCAGAAGTAATTTTTATTGGAAAAGTACCAGAACACGAGCATATATATTCAAATGGTTTTATATGTCTATCGATTCTATATGATGGTATTATATATTAATAAAATTAAAAATAATAAAAAAAAAGAATGGAGTCCAGCATTAACAGTAGCTTCAGTTTGTCTTTCTATTGTTTCTATGATATCTTCAGCACCAAAAAAAGTATATATATATATATATATATTATTTTATATATTTAATTGTTTAAATTAAAATGTATATATATTAAATAAAGGCAAGACCATTTAACGATGCTGAATTTTGTAAAAGATCTTAAGGAAGAGGTCCAAAAGCATTTTTATGGAGTTATGATGATACTAAATGTTGAAAAATAAAAATAAATGAATAAATAAAATAATAAATAAATAAATATTTTTTTAAAAAATAATTATTTGATTATAAATAATTTATTTAAATAAATAAAAATTAAATTTTATGTAAAAAAAAATTAATTTTTTTTCATTATTTAGAAATAAAAATATATAAAATTAATAATATATTTATATTATTTCAAACCAAAAATACAAAATAAAAAAAAATTATAAATCCATAAAAATATGTATAATAATAATAAAGAAAAATTAATATATATTAATTATATATAAATCATTTTTTTTTTTATATGTTTTATATCTTATATATATTATTTCAGGAATTTATTTTTTCTAATCTATCTAAAACAGGACAGCGTTTATTATTTTTAATATAATCTTTTTAATATTAAGATAAGAATTCTCCATCGAAAGTTGGTACACCAGTAAATAATTCATCTCTTTATTTATAAATTATATTTTTTTCGCCTGGAGCGATAGGTTAATAAAATTATTAATTAGTAGTTAATCCTTAGAAAGGTATAGGTGATTTAATTGTTGTACATTTATAATTATTTCCTAAGGGTTCAGCTTTATTTCCTTTCAGATCTTTATAGTCTTTTTGATAGCTAGTAGTTCCATTAAATGGCATAGCATCAATTGTAGTTCTCTAATGAGATCCTTTAATTGGGATATAGGAAGTTCCCCATTCCAAAAAGTCCCTTTTGTATTAAGATCTACCCATTTGTTAAGGTGTTTCGTACAATCTTTCTGGTTATTTACAAGATTTTGCTTATCCATAAGCATCTTTGTCTGGCTTTTTGTAATCATGGTGATTAATTGATTCACTTTCGAGAGGTTTAGCGTCGCTTTTTTTTCCATCATACATTCCATAGTTAAATTTAATGTCTTGCATGCTCTTCTTAGGGTCATAATCATGTTGATATATTGTTTTGTTTTTAGGTTACTTAAATGGATTTTACAAATGGGAAAATTTAGTAAATTGACACAAGTGTTTACCACATGTACATATATAACAATCACATAATCCTGTGTATATATATAGATATAAACATATTTATTTTAATTAAAAAATTATATTTATATATTATATACCTTATATATGTCTGTAATATATTTCATGTTCACTTACGTATTAATTTACAGTATTTTTCATTTATTAGTCTTTTAGTTTACATTCGTCTTTTTTTATTGTGCTTTGGAGATTAGTTTTACTTCTTTGCATATCTTAAATGGGACTTTTATTAGAAGATTTATTGAGAGCTTGTAATTAGGATGATGTTGATTTTTTCATATTTTTTTTATTTTATTTTTATTTTTATTTTTATATATTTTTTTTTATTTTTTTATTTTTATTCCACCAATTTAATTTGATTTTTTTTTTTTTTTTTTTCTATATATATTAATTTAATGTTATATTTTTTTTTTCAATTATAATTGAATATGGATGGTGAATATTATTTTTTAATTTAGATGCATTTCTCTATAATTTCTTTTAGTGCTTATTATTTTTAAAATTTTTTTGAGTTTTATTTTTCTCCTTTTAATTCGAATTATACTATTTTATTTTTAATTAATTTTTTTATTCATTAAATATTTTTTTTTTTTTTACATGTTTATAATGTAGAATGATTAAATATTAAACAATTATTTTTTTTTAAGAATTTATTATAAAATCATTTTTGTAAAATTATTCGTCTTTATTTTCATATTAAACCCTTTTTTATTAAATTTGAATTAACTAATATTATATATTTTTGATTATTTACTTTTCTTAAATTATTTAATTTTTTTTTTTAATTAAAATCTTATTATTCCTTATATTTTTTTATTTTTTTATTTTTTTTTCAAAAATAAAATTAAAATTAAATTTTTATCTGTATAAAGATTACAGAAAAAAACAAAGAAAAATAATTTTAAAAAGTAATATGTATATATAATTTACTTTTTTTTAGATTTATTCAGCAGCTTCTATTAATGTTTACAATAAACCAGACTTTTTTTATAAAAAAACAATGAAAATATTTTTTAAATATATGTTTTTATAATAAAATAAGAAATATAAAAAAAAGAAAATTTTAAAATACTTTAAATTATATAAATATATACAAATTGATTGTTATTGCAATTTTTTTTTAATTTTTTTTTATTTTCTAATTTAATTAAGTTTCCGCTTTTAGTTAATTTAATACTAATGCCTTATTTTTATTTCTTTTTCTATAAACCTAATTCTTTTGGTATAAATTGATTATGTTTTTCCTTTTTTAAATATTAATAATAATAAATTTAAAATAAAAGAATTGCTTTTATAAATTTATTTTTATACTTTTTTAATTTTTTTTTGCTTTTTTATTTATTATTAATTATTTTTTAAACAATAATTGATTTCTTGTTTATCTGATGATTTTTCTTTTTCTTTATTTTTATTTTTCGATTTTTATCATTATTATTATTTTAATAAAAATAAAAATAAAATTAATAATAATACATTGGACATTAAGCTATTATTATTACTATGCTTAATAAATTTTCTCCTAATGATAAATAGGATTAGGTTTTTTTAATCTATTGCTTTACCTAAACTACATTTTTAAATAATGATAAAAAAAACTTATTTAGTAATAAAAATAATCTTATTTTTTTATGTAAATTAAAAAAATAAATTTTAAATATATATATATAAAAATTAAAAAAAAAACAACAAAAAACAACTATAAATATTTATTCATTAACATATATAAAAATAAAATTTGAACATTAAACATCCCAAAATTACAAGTTTTAAAAAACTCAAATAAAAAACAATTTGCAATTATAATCATTAAAAATAATTTTTAAAATCCAGTTTTCCACAACTTATTATTATAAGTAAAGAATCATAAAAATTCCATAAAGCAAATTAAAAGACTATATTTATAGTATTTATAGAAACTCAAAATAATAAATTTATAAGTTTTATTAAACAAAATGTGTTAAATATAAAAATAAAAAAAATTAAATTACATTTTTTATAGCATTTTTAAAAATTTACAAAAGTTAATGTTTTTCAATATTTTTTTAAGTAATTTACATTTCTATTCTACTTTTTGTTACAAAAGTCTTTTTGTTTATAATTCCCATAAATAAGTTATTTTTTACACCCATAAATACATCTTCAGTTAATAATTTGGTAGAACAATATCTAGTATTCATCAATTAAATTTTATATAATTAAATAAAAAAATAGTATTGAAGACAATTTTGCACATATAAATTGCATTAATAGTTCATAAATAGTATAAAAACATATAAATAGGTATATTCTGAGTATTATTTATTTTAAAATAAAAATTGAGAGATTAAGATAAGAAAATATATTTATGTATTATATATGGATTATAATTAATTGCTATAAAATATATTTTTTTAAATTATACAAAATTTAATAGATTTTTAAAATTAAGATGTATAGATTATATATAGTTATTTATTTAATAATGATAAATATATTTTAAACTAGTACAGTGCCAATTTTTTTTTTTTAACTAAAAGAAATTAATTTTAAAGTAATATTATATATAATATATAAGGTTAATTATTTAATTTTTTGATTTTATAGAATTTTAGTTTTTTTTATTATTCTTGATTTTTATGAATTGTATAGAATTAAATTTTAGTTGTATTTTTTTTATAATATAAAATGTTTTTAAAAGATATTTCTTTATATCTATCTTGAATATTATATTTATTGCATATTTATATATCTTAAAGTTTTTTAATAATTTTATAAAAATAAGTTGTTTGTTTATTATCTTATCTATATTTTTATAAAATTAATTTTATATCAATTAATAATATTATTTTAAATAATAAATCATAATCCATAATAAATGACTTATTCTTTAATTTTTTTGTTTAAAAAAGTAATTTTATATAAAATTTTAATTTATATAAAAAGGTTAATTTTTTTTTTTAAATAAAAAAGTAATAACTAAAAAAAAAAAAAAAGATATTAAATAATTCATTATAATTATTTTTTATAAAATTATTTATTAATTTTAATTTATTACATAATAAAAAATAGAAATTTATTTTTCTGTTTGCATAAAATAAATTAATTTTATTTAAAATAAATAAGAAAAAATAAAAGGTAATTTTAAATAAATTATAGTGTTCATGTTTTTGTATAAACTATATTCATAAATAAATTATATAACAAATAATCAAAAAATTGTATAGATTTATATAAAAAAAAGAAAAATTAAAACGAAATAATTTAAAGTAAATATAATTTTAATTAATATATAAAAAAAAATATTTATATAAATATAAAAATATGTATATATATTATGAAATAATATTATATATTTATTACTTAAAATATTTTACTAAACGCATTATAGTAATTTTTTTTTTATATTTATATAATTAATTTATCTTATAAATTAATACATATTATATATATATATATATATCATATAATTTATATATTTATAATATATAAAATAA